ACACTCGCGATGCCTAAATGGCAAATGGCTCAAGCAACGGCGCAGCGTCCCTTATATAGCCGCCGATCGGTCGAATCCCCCCACCCCAAACAGAAATTTCTGAACTTTACCGATTCCATTAATTTTTATTTTTCCGCTGTAATAGCCAATAATTTATTAACTTTTTCACTTTTACTATAAATATACATTGTGTACAATTTGTTATTAACAATATTTATTTATTATTAACAATCGGTCTAATTATTTATAAACATTTTGCAAATTGGAGTTACATTTCAACACAAATGCGCTGTAAACTCGAGTAATAGCCAATAATTTATTAAATTTTTCACTTTTATTATAAATTTTGCATTGTGCACAATTTGTTATTAACAATATTAATTTGTACTAACGATAAATCTAATAATGTATAAACTTTATTCATGTTTTTGGAATATAAATTTCCCTTATGCATTCATATTAAGTATTTTTATGTCTTAAGCAATTTGTTATTAATGATAAATTTAATGCTTTATACATCTTTTATAAAGCAAAACTGCATTCGCACCTGCATAGGATAAATTTTCATGATACGTATGCGTATGACAGGATATTTTTATTTCCCCTGTATTTTTGGCTAAAACGAAGTATTACTCGAAAAGTAGAAACGTTGAAAGATTCATTCTCATCTTTAAAGTTAGGTGGCAGTTCATTTTTTAACAATTGCATATTAAACAGTCATTCGCATTTATATATCGAATAACGAAACTGTTTCGAATTACAATTGATTTGTAGAAATTTCATATAATTTTGCGATCAGTATAAAGAAGCACCGTAAAATATCTATAAACATGTTATGCACATGAAAAATGAGTTTTACTGGACGATGATTTTGGTTTGGGCAACATAGCACTTTCGATTACGGATCATTATTACAGATTACAGAAGAAATTAGAACCTGCTGGACTGTGTAGTTAATCGATTTCTCGACACATACCGATAATTAATCGAATAATTGTCCAATCGAAGAGTTAATGAACAGAAACGAAATTACAGCGTTGTCTTATTACCCGTTATTCCATGGAAAGTCGGAGAAATTGTCGACTGCAATGGTAACGAATCAATCAACAGCGATGGAGGATTAGCGCGATTTATTTTGCGGCGTATTTTCAGCGCGCGAAGTTTAAACTCGTTGGAATCGGGGAATTACACGGTCGATCCTAATCGAAAATCTATTACCCCCAATTAGAAGTCTCCGGCACGGACCATTACCGTTTCCATTATTCATATACCGGGTCCCGTGCTACCCTCCCGAACACCTGAGATCGCGATACCGGCGGACCGCGACCGCCAGAGCGCGCCACCTTCGCGCAACTCCATTTTCTCGTGCGGGTGCACGGGAAGCGTTATCATTACGGTTTTTCCGGCCGTGGGTTTCTCCAGGAAAACGGCGAGCGTGCAGACAGGCGCAGGAGCGCAAGAGTGGCGGGTAGAACGAGTCGTAAAATTACACATCGCGGTCGAATTTTTAATTACTGGAATTTTAGCGTTAAATTTCACCAAACGAAATTGCATGGCTTCCTCTCTATATCGAGTTCTTGTTACTTCTTCTCGTCTGCCCCGGCAGCGCGGAACGATTTATTATTTTTCACGGGCTTCGCAAAGGTTCGCCAAGGGTCCCCTTACGCTGTAATTGCGAGAACCGCGATGGCGGCGGCGGCAGGGGGCGAAATTCTATGGAATAAACGTATCATTACGGCTTTCCATGATGCGGGATAACAAAGGTGAATTATACGCGGCTGTTAGTCTGCTTTTATAATCTTCAGAACGTTGTGCCGCGAGGCGTGGCCCTGGGATTAGGGGTGGCCTGCGGAATAGAAACGAGTCGCTATGAAACGAAGGGGTTACGTTATCGCGGCCCGGCACGTTGTAAATATCCTGGCCCACGCCAGGCCAACTTCCAGGGGTCTTATCGTGACTCTTCGACAAGCCGAAGTACAGGTATTCGTCTCGTCAGCCCCGATTTTCCATTATCCGGTGCCTGGTATCCAACGATCGTCGTGGGACTACGTTCCTTCAACTAAATTCTCCACGGATTAAACGTCATTAATCATCTCGTGCATTAGGCCTATCGTTCATCGAATAATACTAATACTAATTACGACCGAGGTAAGATAATTTTTAATTTGTCCAAAATGTCGAAAATTAAGGTGTCATTGCACCGTGGTTTCGACAAAGGAATCATGGATCCTAAGGAATGTATGTGCTTGCGAGAAAATCGGTTTCGCGAATTAAAATATCGGTGGGAATGACGAGCGGATGTTTAGATTAAGATTATGCGAGAAAAACGAATGAGTTTTTGGAATGTACGCGAGATTTTTAGGACGCGTCGTATGAGTGTGCATGAAGCAAAAAATTATAGAGTCGACAGTCATAGAATCAATGCAATTGTTATTCACAGTCATTACTTCATTTGTAATTTTCTCTTATCTCGTAATAAATATACTTTAAATATATTTGGGAATTTTCATTTGCCAATCTATATCCCCTACATTTATTTTAAATTAATAAATGTTCCTGTCTCAAAACGTGTCACAAATTAATTTCACATGTTAATTTCGAGCTTGTTACTTATCAAACGTTTTCATAATTGCCGGAATAAATGCGAGTGACCGTAATTTGGGTTAGATTACTAATTTTTGCGGTTCCAGGATAACGAATAACAATCGCAAACCCTGGGCGGGAAGTTTGGAATTTATTTCCAGGCTACTAGCAGCGATATTTCGAGAAATTCGCGGCCATTGTATTACCTCGTAATCGTTTATATTCAAATTACCGTTAATTACTATAACGACGCGGCAAAAACCGGGCCACAATACGCGTCCCTGCGCGATCTTCCGAAAATCCGAAATTGCCTCAAAATTCCAGTCGTATCCCTCCATCGCCAGATTCTAAATTACCCCGATGCTCGTTAATCCCGCGTATCACCGATTCACCGCGAATTCGCGGGATTTATTTTAAATTTCCAGCGTTACGAGCTCTGACTCGACTCGTTAAAAATCACCGGCCAGCACCCGGCCCCGTATTACCATGCAATAACGAAATAACGAACTGAGAAACGAGTGGTTTTAATGACGGATAATGGAGTCCGGTAGAGAAACGAAGAGATCCCCGTTTCTTCCGTCGAATGGAACCACCGATCCGGGCATATTTCCGACGAGGTTACGTTATTCCTTTTATTACCAGTGTTCCATGGACTCACGGACACCTAGAGCCCACCTAAAATCGAGTTAATCCGTAATAAATGATTGAAAATCCTTAACCACGTTAAACGTCACACGCCTATTTTACGCGCCGTTCCATTCGCAACGAAGTTAGCCATCATGAGGGGCGCCCCCCTTCCCGGGCCGTACGGACCCGCGGAGGCCTGAACACGGAAAAGTCCCTAAAGGAACCGGCGTGGCACTTAACGTGTTAATAGAAAGAACAGGCCCCAATCTTATCTTCCCGAATTCATTTGAACATGTTTTGTGAACTTACCAGGAGAGGGTGGTGGTGGTTCTTTGTTTCACGCCAATTTGAAAGCACGCATTATGCCCCTGGCGTTCCACCATTCGCTGCGGCGGGCTTTGGCCGAGGGGGCCCGCCATCCCTCTCCACCCTTTCTCCTTTCTCTCCGGACTCAGGACTGCATCAGTCAATCTTTCCCGTGGGCATAAACACAACCTCGTTGATATTGTGTGTACCCACATTCCTAACTAGGTTGTGGGGGTACACCTCTCGCGGACCTTCCGCATGTTAAAGTCGAACATACGTTGCGCATTTTTCTATTCTCTTCCTCGGTTTTCCAAGGGTAGGGATTGATTGGGATTATAGTAGAGTAAAGCCATCCTGGCGATTATTATTTATTATATTCTTGCTTGTAGTATGTGGTATAATAAACGAACTTCATCAACCTCTGCCTTAGACGGGAATATTAGTAACATATCTGGAACTTATATATATAGGAAGCGGACGTTAAAGAACACTTGCGAGAAAGTCCTCGGAACCGGAATCCACCTACCGGCGAGAGTGAGAACGATGGTCGTTACACTTGTTTGCAAATTTCAATGAACAGTTAAGGAATACACGTCAATGCGAGATAAATAAATAATTAATTTTATTTTCATCAAATTGTTTAAAAATTCGTTACATTTTATATATTCAAACATATAAAATGCACGTGACAGTCAATGCATATATCAATGTTCACGCGAAGTGCATTTGTATACGCGAAGAATTCGAATTCGCCGATCGCGTAAGTGATTCATATTTTGATCACATTTCTATCTCATTTTGGAATTGTGATCGTGACACGCTCGTTGTCTATTCCCATGCAAGCGAATGAGAATTCGAACGACGTTTCCGTCGTCGAGGACGTCTCTTTTCCTACTATTTTCCACGGGAATTCCAAAAAGATATTTCCACCCGTCCGACGAAGTTAGTCGAAAGCATTCGGTATACCGGGTGTCTCAGCGTCCGCGTGATTTACGTACAGGAGACTCGGGGTGGAGGGATACAGCGAAACGCCGCGGGCGGACGGAAGACAGATCAGAAAAGTTTCGCGAGCCAATCACCGGTGCTGGATATCGGGTTCGCCGATAAAAATGGCAAAGTCCTGCAAGTTTCCCAGGGTGTCTAGTCGCGATTCCTCTCGAATTCGCGTTTGCCGATCGCGAATACTCGATGGACCGTTCGACGACGAGTATCTCGCGTGGAAAGAATCGACACAAGTGCATAGTAGACGCGACGAAGTAAATTCCTCCTACCTTGTTATTCTCGAATGGCGATGCTGTCCTCCGTTACCGTACGTGTCGGCGTCCGCGACGCTACTGTTATGGTTATCGCGACTCCGGCGTAGGTTACTTACCTCGAGGACCGTTTCTCGGCACCCGAATCGTCAAGGTTCTTCGATGGAAAGGTAAACAGAGCGGAGCCAGGCTCATGGGAATGATTAACAACGTCCCGCTTTCTAACCGGTCTCATTTATTTGGTAACTCATAGATATACACGTTAACGTTCTCTTAAACCTAGAGAGAAATGAAAACGCAGGAGGACCGTGTGTCCCGTGCGCCCCCATCGGTGTGCCAGGGGCGAGAACCGAGGAAATGACGGGAGAAAATGAAACGGGGATGAACGAGCCGTGACTGGCCGCGTTCGGAAATCATTAGAAAAATACACAGTTTACGCGCAAATCCTTTCAAACCGAATTAATCCTCGTCGATGTTCCGAACTTATCCTCGCGCTTAATGACGTTTACCTCGTTCCCTAGGCGGGTGTACGTGTCTCTCTGTATATCTCTGTATAGCTCTGTATATACCCTCGCGCGCGCGTGTGTGTACGTGCAACACGCTCTCGTCTTCCTTTCGCGGCATTCTCTTTCGCTCTCTCTCTCTCTCTCTCTCTCTCTCTCTGTCCACGAAATCGTTCGATTAATTCGCTCGACGTGTTCGCTCATTTACAGGTTTTTCTACTTTCGCTAATTTCCTCCCTGCCCAGCCCGGGCAGGGCGACCTGTTAAAACCGGCGTCCCGGTTTCTCGTTATTTCGAAACGACAGACAGACGAATTCTGGCACCGGGATCACAGGCTTGAACCGATTTTCGCAGTGGTAAACGCGGCGAGTCGGCGCTCCGTTCGTTATTTCGCTTCATTTATAATTTCGTTTGCACGCGACAGGGCCGACCACCGATCTCTTCGTCCCATTTTTCGGCAACCCGCGCACAGGCGGCCCTCTGTTCACCCGCGGCGATTCACGCACGCCTGTGCCGCGAAAATTGAGTTCTCCGTTGCGTTCCAGGCAATTTGGGTAATGGTTACGGAATTGCGGTAAAAACTGGGTCGAATTGTTTTTGATCGTAGGGCAATCGCCGGCTAATGCGCCTCATTCGGGTCAGCCTGCCGGATGCCAGGCTTTTTGCCATCGTTTTAACGCGTTAAACGGTGGCTGCGCCCAATTACTTTGACGAGTGGCGGGTATTTGTTAAGTCGATTTCCCGTGATCGACGATTTCACGTCGCGTTTAACGCGTTAAGCAGCTCAGGCCAAGGACGAGCCGCGATTCGTGCCGTTCTCCATCTGCATTGCTCGCGCGCAAAGGGATCCAACGATCCACGTTAGATCCGGCCCCGACACGCGACAGTTTTGGCTTTGAACGACCCTCTCCGACCCTTCGCGAGGTCGTGGAAACGTCGACACCGAGTTCTAACTAGCGTGGCCGGTGTCGCGGATTCCTCGAGCGTCCTCGTCGATCGGAGAAGTCCGTGTACACGCGCGGAAGCCGCTCGTCTCGTGCCGCCGCGAAAGGAACGACGTATGTGGACGACGAAATGGACACAATGAATGGTACGTGGCTTCGTTGATATGTTCTACTTAATGTCGAAATTCTTATTATCGCACGGCCTCCTTCGACGAATATGTTTTTAATCCCTTTTAATATCGTCGCGATTCAGCCGATTATCTCTGCTCTCTCGTCGGTCTCTAGAACGGATGAAAAGGAATGCTCCACTCTTACACGGATAATACTCGCATCCTCGGCATCGATAACTCGCGGCAGACTCGTAATGCGAATAATACCGCCGCGAAGCGACCATTCGCGCATTCCTCCGCGGGATATGACTCCGTGCTCGATGGCAACTCGGTCCACCTCTGCCCGTCCTGGCCTACGTACTCCGACACTTTGCCCGCGTGTTTCTGCAACGATATATGGAACTGGGACATCGGGAGTGGCTGAGTTGCAACGGCGCTTATTTACAATTCGAGAGTTCCCGGGATCGGAGAACTTGGACGCACGAAGCTCGAATGGTTAAGGTTACGAAAGGAGAATGGAAATAACTGGAAGCGAAGAATTGGAAGCGAGGACCGCTCGCGCGAGTCATCCCCGCGAGGAACAGGCGAGTATCGCGGCCGCGACTAACCAGTATACACATCGACGTTTCTTGGCATCTTACACTTACTCGCGTTAAGAATACGAATCGTACAAAACAACTATTAACGCGCGCCCGTTGCTCGCTAGACCCTGTCGTACCACGCTGGCACCCCTCCGCTTTCACCTTCCATATTCGTCCATCTAGACTACTTCGAATACCGAGTCTCTTCTTCTCCCGAGATAGAAGGGAGATTCCGGTTGAATCGTCGAGACGTGTCTCCCCCGGATAGTGCGAGAATAGGCTAATCTAAGGGTACCGACCGATGGCGAGTAACTTGGCGCGTGGCGGTGCAACGGAATCCACGTAAATATCGGCGGAACGAAAGGAAACGAAACGCTTGGCCTCGCGAAAGTTTCGCCATCAGCCGGTACTCCAGCGGAGATCAACGTCCACGAACTCTTTAAAGTCGTTTTCCTTGGACGTTACGGAACTTCTTCGCCGCGATACAACTTTACTCCGTCGTCGGTTCTCCATCGTGCCTTCCTCCGTCTTCCATTTTCTTTTCGCCTTTATTTATACCCAGGAGGAAGGAAGTTGCCATCGCGGCGAACAAGGGGAGAGGTCGAAGTGGCAGGGTCAGTCGATCCTCGTGCCAGAGCGAACGGGTGGCGGTTGGACAGTAATTGATTAGCTTCTGCTAAGTTCCCCTCCGAAATCGAGCGTTCGATCGGAGAGTCTTCACCTGCTCTTAAATACACCCACTCTCTCCCAATCTCTCTCTCTTTCTCTCTCTCTCTCTCGCTCGCTCGTTACATAGCGTATCGTAATTTTTTTTTTTCTTTTTTACTTTAGGTAGATAGTTTTTAATCGGTTACTTAGGCGCGTTGATTAGTTACGACTCCCAGCAGCGACCTTCCTCCGCCCCCCTTTCTAGCCTACTTGTTGCGTGTGCGCGGGTTATTTCTGGGAAAAATCGCGCGTTGGATGGCTTCGAGTGGACGATCAACCCTCTCGTCCCTTGATCGTCACCCGGTTTGTATACTTTCTTTCTGTCTTTCGCGCGGCTCGCTCGTACGCCGTTCTGATCGGCCATTTCGCGAGCGAAATGGGCAAGAGAACGCGGAGTTGCCACGGGATGGGGATATCGCGAGCTCCCGATCGGGGCTTGCACGTTGGAAGCTGGCGAGTGTCCTCTGGTCCGTCGAGAGATGCGTGGTCTTCCTCGTTCGCGTGTCCTGCCTGCCACCCTTCTTCTCGTCCTCCTTGCGTCTCTGGCTGCTTCGACCAGCTCAGTGCAGGAAGACGCTGGTGACGGACCTGGTGGTGTGCGGTGGCAGGTCGGGGGCCTCCGTCGGGGCCCCCTCGTACCCCTATGCGCTCAGGCCCAGCCGGTGGATCTTCGCAGAGAGAAAGTTGTGCAGGACGAACACGATCGGTTTGGGACAGCTCTCGAGGTCCAGCTCCTGGAATTTTGCAGGGAAAACGTCGTTAGATCGCACCTTACTTCCGCCATATTTACAGATGCGCATTCGTCTCGACCATTTTGTACTCAAAGGGGATGATGAATGACCTAGCAAGTCGAGGAAAGTGTTCTTTCATCCTGATCTTAATAATTCTTAATTATTCTTAATCCCGTTGTTCTTGAAATAGTTTGCATTCATCCTTTTCATAACCAATTTGAATTTGAACTCGTCTCACATAATTTCCAATAATTCGTAGCAATTAATAGAGATGCACTCGTCCGCGAAATTAAAGGATCGCTGAATTTTAACAGAAAAATGATCGATCTTCGAATGACTGTAATTTCGCGAATAAAAGTCGCGCGACAATTTACCTAGGCTGATTTTAAAGAGCAAATTTTCTATTTTCACGTCCTCCAATCGAATTTTTGTAATGGCTTTTTGTTGTAATACTCTGGGTATGGAATTGACGCCACTTTTCTAAAAAATTTCATATATTCAAACGACTCTACGAAACCTAGAAAATTTTTCCCGCGATTCATCGTACAGCGAGTTCACAGGGGAAAATCTCCTCTCTCTAACGACCCCTTAAAAATTCACGTGCGATTTTTTCTCGCTCTTTTATTTTACTTCCCGTAAAATGCGTGCCATTTAATATTTTAACACCTCGTCCCTGTTGAATATTAATTTTTCCAACGCGCTTCGTCCCATTTCGCACGCAACAGAGTCTCTGAGAACCTCTGAAACTGCCAGATTCGAGCACCTATAGTTTCCCAGGGCGGGGTCGTTCCGAGTCAGATCAAAAATTGGGTAATACGAATTTCCGGGATATTTTCCCGCGAGGCGAGCTTGGCACGGAATCGAATTAGACGATGAAAAGTTTATTTTGCTCGGTTCCACGCCGGATTAAACGCGGAACCAATCGACGGATCACTGTTTCTTCCGCGTGGCGGAAGATGGGGGCCATTTAATAAAAAAAAATCCGAAGACGGAAAGATCCCGTGAATTCTCCATTTGCAGCTTCGTTTCAGAGGCAGCTCGAGAGCGGAATAATTTTTCCATCGTGACGTCTGTCGCGGGAAATTCCCCCTCGATGCTTTTCTCTCCACCCCCAGGCACGACCGACCCTCTGTGCCCGGCTCTCTCGCTCTCTCCCGCCCTCTCTCCGTTTGCCAGAGAGCCGGAGCGTTATGAATGGCCATTGAACGACGGGAGAGAACTGGACGACAGTGTTTGGGGAAGATGTAAAATACGTATTCCACGGTATCGTGCTCCGGCATCGAGGGCTCTTTCAAAGTGACGAGCACAATGGGATTACTCGTGGCACAGCCCTCTTTTTCGCCATATCTCCGCCCCTCGTCGAAGATAATAATCTCGATAGTCTAGGCAGAGTCAATTAAAATTCTCAATACTCGGTCGGGGAAGAAAGGAAGCTTCTTTCCCGTCCCACAATGCTCCCGGCTTCTTCTCGATCGCCACTCTCGCGTCACGGTATTATCGAACACGTCAACTCCAGACAGATATTCTTCGCTAATTTCTCCTTACCAAAATTGTAAGAAAAATTCGTAAACTTCCGACAGAACACCCTAATATGGACCACTTAGGGTTAACACGTTGAGTGCGGCACCCATTTTGCTATACTTTCCGCTCAGGCGGCAGCTAGCGAGCACTTGATGCCGAGCGCTCAAGTATACCGAAGGGTATGAGCAGAAGATTACTTTGTTTCACTTAGTCGTTTGGACTGTGAGAATGATACAGCCAATACACAAATATACAAATTATAAACAGAAGAGAATGGGGTGGGGAATGCCAGAAAGGCAAAAAGGCGATCACCAAGAAACGATCAGTCGAAAAAAGCCACGGAAGTGTAAAGATTTACTTCGGCAGAGGGAATTAAATTTTTACAGTATATTAATTGTCATTTATAATTTAACCCTTGACAATGCCAGTCTTACGCACCGATGATAATCAAACGAAAAATTCGCTGTCAGTCCCTAGAATCCACACCGTCCAAACGAAAAGTCTATTGTCAGTCCCTAGGGACTGACGTAGCACTCAACGTGTTAACTATAGATTATACGCAGTTTACAAGAGGAACAGTAAATGACTGGACTTGTGACCCTGCTGCTGACTATAGCACGCGTCATCGGGACTTAATCCTTATCTGTCGTTAGCTTTTCATACGTGATTCTCACTAGGTTATTAGATAACTGGTTTCGGTAAACATGCGAAAGATTTCCATCTTGTCACCTCAAGGTACTATTGCCACGTAAGAGATGAATTACGACCGATAAGTGGGTTAACGGGGTTATTACGCAAGGAACAGTAGTCAGTGAAAAACTGTGATCTTTATTTAACGGGCGAATGGTTAGAACTGAACTGTTCAGGGCCTCGCAGGTCAAAAGTCGTCTTCAGAAGACTGGTGACAGAAGACAGAACATTGGGGAAGGTATCGTCCCCGCACCGCTGGAATGTAGAGTTTGCTTCGCTATTGAATTTTACCATAGAAATAAGGGTTAAATCGTAAGGTACGAGGCTAGAGATACCATATGGACGGAGCTCCAAGCGATTAATTTTCGAAAATAAATTTTTGTTACAGGTGTCACTCACAATTTCGCCATCGTCGCCGCCAAAGTCGAGCCAGAGTAAACGCGCGCCGTCGTCCGCGGACATCTTGAGTTTGTCGAAGGATCTTCTCCAGAGCGGAGTCGGGGGTGAGCTCGGACTCACCCCGTTGCCAGGGACACCCCTGCTCCCGGCTGCGTACAGCGCGAAACCGTCCTCGTGGTTGATGATCAGCTGACAGGCCTTCCCTTGCCACGTGCACCCTGAAGCGAACGGAAATCGTGAGTCAATGGCAATTTCACCAAGCATCCTCACACGCGCGAGAGAAAATCGCGATCACGGCGAGGCGAGTCGAGTCGAGCGAGATTCCGGGGGGCTGATAAATTAAACAGCTCGAGTGACTCGCGAACGAGCAGGAAAAACGACAACTTTCCAATTAAACCGAGTCGCGAACTATAATAAAAGTCAGCTGAATCGCGTCGATATCGATATCAGGCGAACAATGAAGCACTCGAACGAGACCGTGCTAAATTAAACAGCGCGAGTCGGTCGCGAATTAAAAAAATAATTCCTCGCTGCAGCGGAGCTCGACCAAATAATATCGGCCAATCGTAAATTATGGGAAGAAAGGGGGAAGGGAAAATGGGAGGAGAACAAGGAGAAAGGGGCGAAAGGGGGAGAAAAGGAGAGAAAAGAAGAGGGATCCCGCGATGAAACCCGTGGCACGGACAAAAGGATCGAAACGCGATTTCGACGATATTTCTCGCGGCAGTTTCCCGTCGTCCGCGTCCTCGCGTCTTTCCGCTCGGGGCCCGGAGGAATCCGCCCCGCCACGGTGTTCATGATCGATGGAGTTGGACGAGTGGTACGCGAAGGCGAAAAAGGACGACGCGACCGGCGCCGGGCATTAATCTCGATTTATTATTGCCGTTGGTCCGCGCTGCAAAGGAATTAAAATTCATCGAAGCGAACGCGTCGCGCAACGATCGGGGAATACACCCCCGTGGTCATCCACTTCTCTTTTCCCGCGCGAAGATGCATGCCCCCTGGCTTTCTCTCGTTACTCCGTTTTACGACCGAGTGCGTGCATTCTTGTCCCTTCGTCAAACGGGATCTCTTATTCCTTTCTTTCTGTAATTTGTCGCGGTGCTCGATTCGCAATTCCTGCATGGATAACGTGTCGGCAGTTAGTATGACAGAGGGGTGGAAGGGCACTCCGAAGGTAGGATAAACTATATCGGTATCGTCTTTATTTTCTATCAAATATTTAACGTCGACTTTATTTGGTCCACGCGTATTTACTGTCCATTTTCTGTTTATACACTCGTGCACGGAGATATTCGAATGTTTATATTTGCCATGTTCAATAGCTGACATGGTTGAAGGAATGTAGGGCATGTAGTAAAGAGCAAATTCCAAGATTACGCGAATAAAATTGCAAAATAAATCAACAACGCGCACGATATTTTCCGTACGTTAATCGTAGATACGAGCCGTGGTGGCGCTAGTGAGTTATACGGAAAGACCTCATTTTTGGTATTCACCAATGACATGTACAAACATCGTTAAATTATTTCTCAATTTTACCGATATAATCTTAAAGCTACGTTATTACTTCTGTTAGACGTTTATGCGAATATGTGAAAAAGAAATTGAACACGAACTTGCGCGGAGTTTATTTTACAGAGACTCAAGTAACACGGTGCTTCTTCCTTGAACGGTTAAAAACACCCTGAGCTCCGGTTAATTACTGAATATTTCACTTTTACACGCATATAAAGCATTTCAGAAGCAAAACGAGTACACGTGTTCGAATACCTTCGTGTACGAGTGTATATGCAACTGACGTGTTTGGTAATATCTGTACGTAGCTAGAAACTTCTACAGGATTACTCACGAACGGTGTATTCGCGTAACGAGAGAGCAGCCGCGTGACAGCCTTGAACGATTGCTCTGGCCCAGGCAGCCAGGTCCCTCCGCGTCTCGACGCGCAGATGATGCGTCACGACGCCGTCGATCGTGCCTACTCGCACCGCGAACGTCGCGCCATGCTGCGTCGGTGCGCTACTGCTGCTCCCTGCCTCGTTCTTCCTCGTCGGAGTCGACACCAGCCTGCAAGCATTTTATAAAACGACTTAAGCTCCTCCATTTTCCCCTTCCATTCAGCCCTAACGACTATCGTTGATCATTTACGCACTCGTCGCTAGAAAAATTCGCGTCAGTCCTCGAATATTCTCCCATAATTCTCGTGCGAACGCGCTCGCTATTCCACGACCTTGGACCTTCGAATAATCTCGCCGATTCGAAACGATCGAAGCAAATTCACCGGCTAGAGGATCGGAAAAGCGACCGAGTCGCAGGTTCGAGAGCAGCGAGGGTAACGAGGAGGGTAATGGGCCGAAGGGAATTTTTCGCCGGTATCGCTACGATTCGGGAAGCACCCCGATCTCGAGGATAGAAGGGCTACACGATTGAGCTGCTCGTAAGCGAAATTTTCGCGAATACGCGTATTCAGCGCGAACCGCCTTCGAGGGTAAATTACCTCGCGCGATCCACCCTCCGTCGTAAAAATCGCTCGCGGCTTTATTGCGCGGAGCCGACTGACACCGGGAGAGGCCCTCTTCAACACCCCCTGGCTGCAATCTGTCCGCTGACGAATGGTTCTGACGTACGCGGGTTCGTTAGATTTATAGATTTTTCGGCAGTTGGGAAAAAAGGAGAAAATGCCGAGCGAAATGCCAGAGAGAGGAGAGGCGGGGGAAGACGATGGGTATAATGGTTTTGGAAAAACGGATACACTTCGTTGGGGGATGACGTATCTCCTGCGACACCGAAACATGTAAAATTCGAAATGACGGAGTTTGACGAGGGTGGTTTGACGCGTAACGATCAGGGTTACACAGGGTCGCTGCTAGGGGGTTACTGGGATCAAGGAGGTTCGAGATGAACCCTCCTCTCTCAACAAATGGAAGTTCTCAACCTGGGTGAGCTAGCTAGGTAGCCTCGTTCGTTAGCAGACCCAGGACGAAACACACCCCTTCTTCTTCCCTTCTCTTCGAAATGAAAAACACGCCTTAATTGGGGACCCTAAGCTATCTCACACGTACCTGCACATCGTACCACCCAATCCCACCCTATTTTATCTCATTCCACTGCATTCCGATCGCAGTCCTCCGCATCTCGCGCCACCCTCTCGTCAGTCATCGCATTCGTCATCACTTCGTTCCATCTTTTCACCGACTCCCAGCTATACTTCGTTCCCATGTTCAAAAAGAGAAAGAAAAATACACGATACGTCTTCCTGTCCGAGTTACGAGTTGGCTCGAAATGATTTGAAATGGCTCAACGTGGAACTGACTTTGCTGTTGATCATGGCACGCGCTAGCGAAAATTAAATTCTAGGCCAAGAAGTTAACGAACGACTGTGAGGTTCGTTAAAATCTACGTCTCGATCTATTACGTCTATTATCCTCGGAAATTATTCTCACAATTTACCCGTTTCTTTGACTTCCCCGTTCGACTGTTCCGACGATTACAGCCTGGAAGATTCGAGTTGGCGGAAGTCGATGTAAGGCATTCGAACTAATGAGCTAGTTATAGTTGCGAGGGTAGGCGGATGATGCATGCGAATGCTCGAGTAGGTATTACGTTTAATGGGTACGCGTAAGCAGTTGTATCGATGAATCTGGACGCAAAACGCGAGCATAGTACGCCAGCTACGAGGTATTCCGGGGTAAAATAACGTTTGCTTACTCGCGCACTGATCTCGTGCATCCCGTAATCCTACGTTGTCTCGTGCACGCTCTAGTTGTACCGAGTACTCTGATTTCTCTTTACCTCGCAATTTATGAAATCACCGTTTCATTTCTTCCTCGCGAATTCGCGTATATACCATCTCTCCACGAAAGAAGCCAAGTAAATGAACAAATTAATAAATTTATATAACCAAATAACCATAAGGTCGTTCATAATCTCGATTTCGAGTTAATATTGTAGGATACCGAAAGAAATCGCGAATCGTCTATTGCCAACAAAAATAAATTGTAAACCGGTCGATATCTTCTAGAAGCAAATCGAAGAGTTATTCTATATAACAAAATTAAGTTGCGTGACTCCCCTACGGGGAGGTGAAGCGTAGGCTAAGGAAAGCATAAAAGCTTGGTCCTTGACAAGCAAAACAGAGTCCTTAGAAATCGGTTGTGACCAGCACAAGCGTGAGTCGCTTGGTGTTGGAGAAAGAGTTTTAAAAGAGTGCGTCCTTGTGTGTTTTTATTTCGTTATCTTGGTGTTCTCATCCTGAGTTAAATCGGTTTACGAGTTTCGAGTTTGTGTTATCGCGTTCTTGTTCTCTAGATAATTTTCGGTGTCTCAAGACCAGTATTCGCAATCCTACAATATTTGAAACCGAGCGCTTTTCATCTATCTTTCAGAAGCTCGCCATAAATTCCTCGATATTCAAAACACCATTGGAGGGTTAAACAAGCACCCTTGATCGCAAAGTCGCAGCTTTCCCGAAACGATATTTTCCAATTATCCGTCCTCTCTCGAATTCCTGCGACGCCATCCACAGAAATAAAATCGATCCCCGAGCCGCGTCGATCCACCCTTACCTAACGGTACCGGATTCACCCTACACCCAGAGGGTGGATTACTCGCGTTCACCCGTTATACCGAGCAGCAGTGCGCGCGACGAATAACGTATGAGTTCCTCCGGGTGCAATCCAGGCACGGCCCGTTCCCTCTGGATCGCGTTCGACGGCTTTCCCTGGCAACGTTTTCCACTTCTGATAGTCAATGCCTCGAAACGGGAAAGTTCCCGCGAGCTTCGCGATGGAATTACGCGAGACATCGCTGATCGCGTTCGTCGCGCAATCACTGCGAGAAATTCCGATGTAACGAGGGGGCCTCGATTCGCCATTCCTCGGTTCCACTCGCCATCTTATCGACTTAATTCCCGATTTTTTCGATCTGATCAGCGATTTTTTTTTTATTCGATATTCTTCCATTCGATTCGAGAATTTTTCGTTCCTCAGTTCCACTCGCCATCTTATCGACTTAATTTCCGATTTTTTTCGATCTGATTAGCGATTTTTTTTTTATTCGATATTCTTCCATTCGATTCGAGAATTTTTCGTTCCAAGGTTCCATTCGCCATCTTATCGACTTAATTCCCGATTTTTTCGATCTGATCAGCGATTTTTTTTTTATTCGATATTCTTCCATTCGATTCGAGAATTTTTCGTTCCTAGGTTCCATTCGCCATCTTATCGACTTAATTCCCGATTTTTTCGATCTGATCAGCGATTTTTTTTTTATTCGATATTCTTCCATTCGATTCGAGAATTTTTCGTTCCTAGGTTCCATTCGCCATCTTATCGACTTAATTCCCGATTTTTTCGATCTGATCAGCGATTTTTTTTTTATTCGATATTCTTCCATTCGATTCGAGAATTTTTCGTTCCTAGGTTCCATTCGCCATCTTATCGACTTAATTCCCGATTTTTTCGATCTGATCAGCGATTTTTTTTTTATTCGATATTCTTCCATTCGATTCGAGAATTTTTCGTTCCTCGGTTCCACTCGCCATCTTATCGGCTTAACTCCCGATTTTTCCGATCTGATTAGCGATTCTTTTTTATTCGATATTCTTCCACTCGATTCGAAATTTGTTTGATTTGTCATTCCTCGATTCGATTCGCGATTTTTTCGATTCGATTCGTGATTCATCGCGTAAATCGAGATCAAGCATTCGAGGATCGGTCGTTGGCCGATGAACGTGGTAATGGCTTCACAGTGGTGTTTTTGGATCACGGAAACTGTTGTTTCAGTTGTTGGTTCGCTTGATTTTTACTGGCATGTATAATAGATGGAATTAATTATAATAAATGAATAATTCCCAAGTGACAGTCAATTTTGCAGAAATATGGCCGAGGTTTGGTACACCCCCGTGGATGTAATTGATCGGTTCATCGGTTTCATTTCCAAGAAAAATTATATCAATATATCCTCGAAATGGAGTTGGTATAAATGAAAAGTTTGATCCGAAAAGTAGAAATAAATCGCGGTATCACGCGAAAGGTATACTTCGATGAAACAACAACGCCCTATAAAACAATAAGCCCTCCGTCCTCTTTCTTCGCCAGAGGGACCAAGACCTGGACCTGTCTCGAGCTATTAAACTACCACGATCGTCGAAGCAAACCCTGACAGAGCCGCGAGTTTCATCGTTCGAAGAATGAGACGAGCACGCGAACAACGGCATAAAGAATGGAGAGACGTCGGCGAGCGATTGCTCTTGAGCCACGATAATCGAGTGTCAACGAAGAGGCAGAGGACGCAGGAATGGGACAGAGGGAAGAGGAACGGCCAGGGCGCAACGCAAAGCCAAGATGGCCAAAGAGAAATACACAGGGTAGACGGAAAAAGGAGGGAAAAGGGGCAGCAAAAGGAGGGAGGTAAAAGGAAAAGCAGCGGACGGTAAATAAAGGCGTTAAACGAGAATAGATGTTCGTCCGAGGCCCGTAATCCCGGCCAAAAGGAACGAAGCAGAAGCCGTGCAGGCTGGAAGGGGTAAACTTTCTTCCCCGTCTACGCGGCGAGCAACGTTTCGGTCGTGGCCGAATCACTTCCGGTTTGTCTCGCAGTAAAACTTCCTTAAGTCGGTCATTTCGTACCTTCGCGGGCCCGATACGGACCTCCTCTACCGGAAATAGCTTTTCGGTGCTCCACATTCCGTCCCCGTTCCACCTCCGCCACCTTTCTTCCCTCGTTCTTCCGTCGTTTCGCCGTTTTTCTCCCTCGTTTTTCCCCCGGCAGGGTTAAAAGTCGACTCGAAACAGCATCGACCACCGTTCAATGTCCTGGCAACTTTTCCAAAAGCTAACTCCGTTCCTTCGCGGTGAAATAAACGGATCGATAATCGGGATCCCGAGATTAGATCCCTGCTGGAGAACGATGGCTTGGGTTTCGGGGTTCTATTTGGAAGCGAGAGAATGCTCGTCGATTCCACGGGTTCCGCGGTACTTCCGGGTAATCGAGGTGAAAGTTTCGTAAGAATCCTCGGTGCTAGGGACCAATAATAATCTTTGTTCGCAGTTTTAACGCGGTACATT